ATGACAAAAGCCAGAGAGTGGGGTCAACCTTGTAACTGCGCAACAGGTTGATTCAATGGTGATTTCAAGTCTCTTATTTGAAGAGGTAAAAGGTAAGGAAGAAAAGAAAATAAGGAAAAAAAAGGCAAGATCGCCACACCGTAAACAAGAATCAGAAGCAACAATTTAAAAGGCCTATTATTAGAGAGCTGTTTTAAGGGGATAGCCGCCTCCTGCGGCAGATGTCAATAGAAAAAGGATGTCGGATCTACAATTTTCTATGGAGAATTGATGGATCTACTTACACACATGACCCCGAGGGCGCTTAGGCTCCATTGGCCTCAAAATGGAGGGGGGTGAATAGCGTTGTGTAGCATATCTAGCCCGTGTGGCGTTACAAATTTCCACATTTCCCGTGGTGTTGCAAGTTTAACCAAGCTAGAGTTTACTAGGGTTAGGGGTTCAAGAGCCAGGAACTTGCAGTTGAACATTTCAGTAGGGATACAGGAATGGCATGGAACTGAAGGCCGAACTTGGACATGGAATCTTGCCTTAGGCCATAAATGCATATCTCCACGTGATGATAAGCATCCGGCTCCACCCTCGAAAAATTTCCCCAAGCAGAACAGACCTCTCGTCTTCGTTTGGCAGCTGCCATTGTCGGTTCAATTCCTGTGGTCTCGTGGCTGATATAATACTGGGCGGAGGAATCGAACCGATATTGCCGCGCTTTTATCTTCACATTGACGGTCACGTTTATTGTGCCGTTCAGTTCTTCTTTCTATACCGCATCGGCTTTTGAGAGCTGCGAATTTCTATCATGGCGCCCGCAGCCACTGAAACAGAGTGGTCAGTCGAATATGACACTCTGCGACGGGAGAACCTGTTCAAGAATCCTCCCACCGACCACACGGCTTATCCATCGCTGGCCGAGTCGATTCGACCGCATATTGATTCCTTCAATGCTCTCTTCGACGACAGCAAGATCCTAGAAGCAGGATTGAGGGATATCGGTACCAAGACCTTCCTCGATGGTGAACTCGAAACCTATGAGCAGAAGAAGGCCCGCCAAGCAGAAGGCATTCGCCCACCGAAGCGGAATCGCTTGAACGTTCGCGTGCGTGAAATCTTCCTCGAAAAGCCTACCCTGCCCCCCACCAACAAGTACACCACCCGAAACCGTGAGATTTACCCCTCGGAATGTCGAGAGCGTCATGCGACGTACCGTGGTAAGCTCCGCGCTCGCCTCGAGTACCAGGTCAACAATGGAGATTGGATGGAGTCTGTCCGCGAGCTGGGTAATGTCCCGATCATGGTGCGCACCAACCGGTGTCACCTCGAGAAGGCTACCCCGCAGGAGCTTGTTCGACACAACGAAGAATCCGAGGAACTGGGCGGTTTCTACATCGTCAACGGTAACGAGAAACTCATTCGTATGCTGGTCGTCGGCAAGCGTAACTACCCCATGTCTATCATTCGTGGTTCTTTCGTCAAGCGTGGCCAGACCTACACCAAGTTTGGTGTTCAAATACGATCCGTCCGTCCCGATCAGACTTCGCAGACCAACGTGCTTCACTACCTCTCTGATGGAAATGTCACCTTCCGTTTCTCATGGCGCAAGAACGAGTACCTTATTCCCGTGATGATGATTCTCAAGGCCCTTGCCGAGACCAACGATCGCGAAATCTTTGAGTCCATTGTCGGTGGTGCTTCCTCCAAGGGCTTGAACAACACTTTCGTCACGGACCGTGTTGAGCTTTTGTTGAGAACCTACCACGCCTACCAGAAGCACAGCCAGTACGATTGCCGATCTCACTTGGGCAAGGCTTTCCGACCTGTGCTCGGAGTCTCCGCTGATATGCCTGACGAGGAAGTTGGCACAGAGTTCCTTCGCAAGGTTGTTCTCCCCCATCTTGGAAATGAGAATGTCACCGAGGCGCAAGACTGGGACAAGTTCAAGTTGATCACCTTCATGATCCGCAAGCTTTACTCGACAGTTGCAGGAGACTGTGCCCCCGATAACCCCGATGCCGTTTCCAACCAAGAAATTCTGCTTGGTGGGTTCCTTTACGGAATGATTCTGAAGGAACGTATTGAGGAGTGGCTCCGTTCATTCGGTCCCATTGCCAGAGATTGGTCCATCCGCAACAACGGCGCAAAGTTCACCGACGAAGCATTTGAGCGAGACTTCCTTTCTAAGATCGTTAAGCGATCAAACGAGAATATTGGTAATGCGCTCGAGTACTTCCTCTCCACCGGTAACTTGGTCAGTCCTACGGGTCTTGATTTGCAGCAAACCTCAGGTTACACCGTCATTGCAGAGAAGATCAACTTCTACCGTTTCATCAGTCATTTCCGCATGATTCATCGTGGTAGTTTCTTCGCTCAGTTGAAGACTACCACTGTCCGCAAACTGCTCCCAGAAAGTTGGGGTTTCCTTTGCCCCGTTCACACCCCTGATGGATCGCCTTGCGGTTTGCTCAACCATTTGTCGCACAAGTGTTTGATCTCTACAGACAACTTGGATGTATCTCATCTGCCTCGGACTCTGGTTCAGCTTGGTGTCCGGTCTGAGTCTTCCGTGGCTCTGGACGAGAGCGTTGTCGTCCAGTTGGATGGCCGAATCATCGGTTACTGCTCGCCCAAGCAGGCCCAGAGAATCGCCGATACCATTCGGTACTGGAAGGTCGAAGGCAAAAACAACATTCCTCGTGAATTGGAAATTGGATATATTCCCAACTCAAGCGGCGGTCAATACCCAGGTATCTACATGTTCTCCCAATCAGCGAGAATGTACCGCCCTGTCAAGTATCTTGCGCTGGATAAGCTGGATTACGTCGGACCTTTCGAGCAGCCCTTCATGGAGATTGCTTGTGTCGAGTCTGACCTGATTCCTGGTCTTTCGACCCATATTGAGTTCTCACCCACGAATATCCTCTCTATCGTCGCGAACATGACCCCCTTCTCCGACTACAACCAATCTCCCCGTAACATGTACCAGTGTCAGATGAGCAAACAAACCATGGGTACGCCAGGTACCTCGATTGCCCACCGTACCGACAACAAGTTGTACCGCATCCAAACGGGTCAAACGCCAATTGTGCGCCCGCCTCTCTACAACGCCTACGGTCTGGATAACTTCCCCAACGGTATGAACGCAGTCGTGGCTATTATCTCCTACACCGGTTACGACATGGACGACGCTATGATTATCAACAAGTCCGCCCACGAACGTGGCTTCGGTCACGGTACAGTCTACAAGACCAAGGTTGTCACTCTAGCTGAGAACGACTCTCGCCGGAACAAGTCCAAGCGTGAGGTCACCAAGCTGTTTGGATTCGCCCCCGGCGACGAGGTCAAAGAGCAGGTGCGCAACATCATCGACGAGGATGGAATGCCGCACCTGGGTGCTCGCGTCAGGGAAGGTGACAAGATCGCTGCTTGGCACAATGTCCGCTTCGATCCCGCGTCCGACTCGTACGTCAACGTCGATGGAGTCACCCACTACATGAAATACAAGGATGCCGAGGAAGGTTACGTCGACAGCATCCGCCTTATGGGTTCCGAGACTGGTAACGAGCCCGCTCAATCGCTCAGCGTCAAGTACCGAATTCCCCGAAAGCCCGTCATTGGTGACAAGTTCTCCTCTCGTCACGGTCAGAAGGGTGTTTTGTCTCAACTCTGGCCTGCGGTCGACATGCCCTTCTCCGAGAGCGGCATGCAACCTGATCTGATCATCAACCCCCACGCTTTCCCATCCCGTAAGTTCCCCTTTGTCTTCGCATCAAATCCATTCACCAGTCTAACATATCTGTAGGTATGACAATCGCTCAAATGATCGAGTCCATGGCCGGCAAAGCTGGTGCCATGCACGGTCTCCCGCAAGATTCCACTCCCTTCCAATTTTCCGAAGAAAACACCGCAACCGACTACTTCGGTGAGCAGCTTCGCAAAGCCGGCTACAACTACTACGGCAACGAGCCATTGTACAGTGGTATCACAGGCCGCGAGTTCTCCGCCGACATTTACATGGGTCTGGTCTACTACCAGCGTCTGCGTCACATGGTTAACGACAAGTTCCAAGTGCGTACCACTGGTCCCGTCAACGCGCTCACGGGACAGCCCGTGAAGGGTCGTGCGAAGGGTGGTGGTATCCGTGTCGGAGAGATGGAGCGTGATTCGCTCATTGCTCACGGTGCGGCCTTTTTGCTGCAGGATCGTCTCATGAACTGCTCCGACGCCCAGCACACCTGGATCTGTCGCTGCTGTGGTTCCTTCCTGTCCACACAGGTTGCTGTTTCCGGCTCGTCTCGCAACCGCGCGGCTATCAACCCTGGTGCTGCCGCCGCTGCTGCCAAGGCTGCTCCTAACCAGCAGAGCACCAATGCTCACGCTGGTGCTGCTATTGGTGCTGTTGGCGGTGTCAATGGTGTTGTGCGCTGCCGTCGCTGTGCCCGTGAGGCTACCTTTGATGATTCCCGTGCCGAGGTCTGGGAAGATGGCAATGGACACCGCTACGTGGGTGGTGACAATGTTACTATCGTTGCTGTGCCCGGTGTGCTGCGGTACTTGGATGTCGAGTTGGCCGCTATGGGTATCAGAATGAAGTTCCTGGTGGATAACTGATATATCAGTCTCTGACTGGGGATCTCAAAAATTGTTTCCTTGTTTCAATGTCATAGGTGGCGTATACCTGGTTTTAATGATTATACTCATCTGCTTCTTGTCTTATTTTCCTTTTTTGCAAATATTCTTTCGTGTATGAACAGCATTTCCAATCAGAATCAGAAGTGTTAAAGAAAACGGTCTTTGTATATGGGCTACTTCCTATAATCTTCTCTACTCAGCGTTTAACGACCTCAGGATTCAGTTACAACACGATGAGATGTTCATTTTATTGATCCATATTACATACTATTAAACTCGCCACTTCACCATACTTCCACTACTGCATTCCACATATTACATCTCAAATTGAGCTCTCAAATTGAGCTCTCAAGTTGAGCTCTCAAGTTGAGCTCTCAAACCAAGCCTTTCTCCCCCTCGAGCTCACTCTGCACCAAACCGGTCTTCGCACCTGGGAATTCCCTTGTGCGCACCTTGTTCTCAAACAGAATATCCAACTCAGCATAAGAGCGACCCTTGGGCTCAGGAAGTCTGAAGAACGACCAAACAAAACAGCAGATGCACAGTCCACCCCAGAAGAATCCAGCCTTGCCCTTCCAATTCCACGCTTCCACATTCAGCATATAAGGAATAATAATACCAGTCACCAGATTGAGGATGTTATACACATTTCTTGCCAGCACAACAGTCTTGATGCGGAGTCTCGACGACGGAATCTCCGAAACCAGCGAGAAACACACCGGCCCGACAGTCGAGTCATAGATGAACGTATACACAAGCAACATGGATCCTGTAGCCCACGAGAGCGAGGTAGACGCTGCCGGAACAGACACAAAGCCAATCACAAACAGGATGCAGGCCAAAACCGCCAGACCACCCACATATAGGGTGCGGCGACCAAAGTATGTCATGCAAACCCACGAGAATAACGTACCGACAACTCCAATCGCATACTGCGATAGCGACATGGTAAACGACATTGACGTGGCAAGCCCAGCACGCTGGTAGAAGACAGTCGAGTAGCCCATCAGACCACTGCCGCACAGACTCTGCACCGCCCAGACACAGCACGCGATCTCCGTGCGTCGTAGATCAGTCCCCTTGAAGCAGTCCAAATACGTGGCACCAGTCTCGGTACGCTGCTCTATCGCATTCGTATACACAATCATGGAGACGGTTTGCTCGGCGCTGAAAGTAGGGTCGGCACTTTGTCGTGTGAGTCGCTTCACAGACTTAATCGCGTCTTCGCGTCTGTCCTTCCGCACAAGCCACCACGGGCTCTCGGGTGCTAAGTATACTCCAATGAAGATCGGCACCGGCCATATCCACTGCACGGCAAAGGGAATGCGGTACGCCCACTGATCAACACGGTCGACGAGACCCCTCAGCACGCCTGAGGCGGCGAGCTGTCCGAATACCCAGCATAGGTTGACATAGGTGGTCAAGTAGGCGCGCAGTGCGACGGGGCAGACCTCTGAAGCGTATGTGACTGTGAGGGTCTGGTAGACGCCGAGGGGGATACCCATGAGCAGCTCGCCGGCGACAAGGGTCTGGACATTTGGAGCGAAGAAGAGGATGAAGATCAAACCGACGGTGGCGGCGAGACAGGTCATTAGGGTTCTGCGGTAGCCGTAGCGTTCGGAGACGATACCGTTAATGAAGAGACCGATGATCTGACCGACGCTCATTCCGTTGGTCATGCCTAATTGCCAGGGGGCGGAGAGGCCGTATTTGCCGTCGGACTGGAGATGGCCGTATTTCTTGTTGAAGGCCGGGTAAGCGAAGAATGAGCCGATCAGGGCCGTGTCGTAGCCTTCCATGATGATGGCGCACGAGAGGAGGAGGGACCAGCCCACGGCCTTGGGGTAGAGCCTGAGAGCTTCCATGGCGGTCATGTTGTGCTCCTTTTCGATGGCGGCATGAGCTTCTGCGGTGGTTTTGAGGTCTGTGAATTCCTCCACGTCATTGCCTGCTGGTTCGATTGAGTCATGTCTCTCGACATGACTGGTGGCTAGCTTTTCAGACGCCATTGCTGGATTGGAGGGAAACGAAGGCCCTCAAGATGATTCGAGGTTGTTGGATGTGAAACTGGATAGAGAAGTATTTTGGGGTGTTCCATACTTATATACCAAATCGTGTCAATGTTCGTCGATGGTTTGTCCTTAACGAGCGAGGACGGGACTGGGGTTCGATTGGCCCACTTGTCCGTCGAGTTTAATCCTTGTTTAATCCTTTCAGCGAGCGGGAATAGTGGCGTGGAGGATCTTTCCCCGGTTTATCTGCACGGGGTATGTCGGGTCAGCCCACTATCCCCGGATTTTCTGAGAGAGTCATGATTGGACTGCTGTCGGGCCGGAGAGGGATGAAGAGGCATTTGTGCATCTTCATTCGCTTTGCCAACGTCCCGCATGGGCGTTTTCCTCCAGCCATTTTCGTATTGGTTGTCTTGGGTTGTTCTCAGGCTATCCTAAACTGTCTTAGGGCTGTCGCTTCTCTCAAACGAGTTAGAGGAAGCCGGGGGAATATCGTCAGGTGATTGGTGAAAGATCGGCCCGACATACCCCTTTCCCCCTCAATTTTGTCGATCTAACGAAGGTCAGTTAGGCCCGGAAAAGAGACGAATCGGCTGGAGATCGTCGGCATTTCACATGGCCCAGACGGTTGGAATGCTCGGCATGCCCCCCGGATCGTGCGATTGAGTGGAAATAAGTGGAAATCGCCAACAGACTGAAACAACACCAACCATGCACTAAAAGCAAACCCCGACAAAATGTATGGCACAAGATACTGCAAATAACGACAGTCGGCCCGACATCGAGTCAATGAACACCATGGCCCTCCCTCTATGAGAAGCCTGGACTCCATCGTCGATACCAAAGTAGGCAGTGCAATGATTATCTAAAATTGAATGCTTTAGGCACATATATATAGCCTCCTCGAGTTCTCCTATGTTGGAGCTGTCTTTGATCTTCTGTTACCATCCCTTGTGCAATCCCTTACACATTCACCATGTCTCCTGCTATAGTGGGCGAAAAGTGGTGGAAAAATTCCATCATCTACCAAATATATCCCGCCAGCTTCAAAGATTCCAATGGCGATGGCATTGGCGACATCCCAGGCATTATCTCCTCCCTTGATTACATCACAAGCCTTGGTGTCGATGTAGTCTGGCTGTGTCCCATGTATGACAGCCCACAGATTGATATGGGCTATGACATTTCCGACTACCAAAGTGTGTATGGCCCATACGGTACTGTGGAGGATATGGAGACCCTCATCGATGCATGCCACAAGCGAGGACTTCGAATTATCCTGGACTTGGTGGTGAATCACACCTCAGACCAGCACCAATGGTTCAAAGATTCCCGCTCTTCAAAGACAAACCCCAAGCGCGACTGGTACATCTGGAAGCCAGCGAAATACGACGCCAATGGAAACCGTCAGCCGCCCAACAACTGGCGCAGCATTTTCGGAGGTAGTGCGTGGGAATGGGACGAGAAAACAGAGGAGTATTATCTCCATCTGTTCTGTGTTGAACAACCCGATGTCAACTGGGAGAATGCCGAGACTCGCAAGGAAATCTACGAGTCTGCAATGGAATTCTGGCTGCAGAAGGGCGTGGATGGATTCCGCGTCGACACAGTCAACATGTACAGCAAGCACCCCGAGTATGCCAATGCTCCAATCCTTGACCCAAAGTCCGATACACAGCCTGCTTTCGATCTGTTCTGCAATGGTCCTCGCATTCACGAGTACATAGGCGAGATGAACGAGGTGCTTTCCAAATACGATGCAATGACCGTTGGCGAACTGCCAAACACACATACCGTGGACGGTGTTCTGCGCTTTGTCTCAGCAGCTGAGAAGCAGCTGAGTATGGTCTTCCAATTCGATCTCGTGGACCTCGGTCAGGGCAAGGACTATAAGTTCCTGACCAATTTCCCGGGATGGAATCTACGAGAATTGAAAGCCGCCATCAAGTCCACACAAGATCTTCTCAAGGGCACCGATGCATGGACGACAGTGTTCATGGAGAACCACGATCAGGGCCGCTCTGTGAGTCGGTTCGGCTCTGATAAGACACCCGAGTTCAGGGTTCGGTCTGCAAAGATGCTTGCCATGATGCAAGGTACACTTTCCGGCACCCAGTTTATCTACCAGGGTCAAGAGATTGGAATGGTGAATGCGCCCCGGGAGTGGACGATTGATGAATACAAAGATATCGATAGCACCAACTACTACCGAATGACAGCCAAATTGTCTGGCGATGATCCAGTTGCATTGAGCACGGCCATGGATTCTCTGCAGCATTTGGCGAGAGATCACTCCAGACTCCCCATGCAGTGGAGTGCTGAAGCTAATGCGGGCTTTTCACCGGCCTCCTCGGCAAAGCCGTGGATGCGCCCGCATGACAATTACCCCGAGATCAATGTGAAGCTCCAGGAGAAAGATTCATCTTCTGTTCTTTCGTTCTGGAAACAGATGAATGAGCTGCGCAAGGAGTATGCCGACCTACTCGTCTTTGGAGAGTTTGATATTCTCGACGAGCCAAATCAGAGTGTCTTCACCTATACCAAGACAGCTCACAGCCGGACTATTTTGGTGGTTCTTAACTTCTCGGACACTACACAGAAGTTCGAGAAACCGGATTCTGTAAAGAGCGAGAATTGGAAATTGTTGGTTGGCAATGTAGATGAACCCAAGGAGGACTTGGAGGCGTTTGAAGGAAGAGTCTTTTTGGTTTAGGGCTGGGATATACTACTGGTTAGATACCTCATAGTCAACGTCCAATAGAGGACATTACGGCAGATTACAATCAATTACACTCTTTGAATGATTCAGGTCAAATTTGTATATTCAATCTTCGACGTAAACGTCCTAGTATATATATACCTAGTAAGCCACTACGCACTCTAGGTTCACCCCAGTTCACCCCAGTTCACCCCGGATTCTAATCTTACCAAGCTTTTAATTAGTGCATAAATCGACGGGGTAGACCTACCTAAGTAAGTCTCACATGTTCATTTTCTATAATTCCCGAATATAGTCCGCGGAGAATAAGCCCGTGGCGCTAAGAGGACGAATTGCCAAGGCCCCAACGACGCGGGGAAAAGAAGTACATGTTTCGACTAAACATCAACAGATCTACCCCTGACCCCTTGAGACCCCAGAGAAAATGGCTAGTCCAACTTCCCAGTCGCGAGTCCCTAAAGCGTGTGACCCATGTAACCGTCGCAAGGTTCGCTGCAACGGCCAGCAAAGATGTCAGCAATGCGAGCACCTCGATCTCCTCTGCACCTACACAGAGAACCGTTCATTGCGATCAAGAAAACATTCACTACGCCGAGGAGCCGTTATCTCGAAATACAAGAGCGCTAACACCAAAACAACCACTCTGACGCCACTCCTCTCTCCTCCACTGGCACCTGTAGCCTCACTCCAACTACCGACCTCGTACTTTGAAAGCCTAATACCAGCCTACATGACCTATGTATATCCCTTCAGCCCACTCATCACCGACACAGAAGTGCGTCTGTCAATATCGAAAATGAACGAAAGAGAGCACGCAGCCTTCATCTACGCCTTCACCGCAGTCACCCTGGACCTAACCCGGTCCTCCCAAGTCACCGCATCCAGCACTCCACCAATATCAACTCAAATAACTGACCTAATGCGCCAGTCCGTGGAAACCCAACAACCACTAGTAATAGGCTTCCGACCCTCAATTCTCCGCGCCACAACAAGCGTCTTCATCCAGATGTGCGCCATGAGCCTGGGCCACTACGACCTGGGCTTCTTCTACCTGCGCGAAGCAATCAGCATGATCCAGATGCTTCGCATCGACGACAAAACTGTCAACGTTGGCCTCAGCACGGCAGAACGAGCCCGACGCCAAAGACTGTATTGGCAATGTTTCATCCACGAGCGATTCATGTCAATCGTGAATTTCACTCCGGCGATGCTGCCCCCGCACACGCAGTACCCCGAAGACGACTCGTCCGTGGGCATTGGCATCCAGCAAGGCTGGACGCAGGTGATCAAGACGTTCTGCATGCTAGATACGTCTTTTATCAGTTTGTGGATTGGGGACCGTACACAGGTGACTGCGTCTTGGGTTGAGCGGAAACACCGCGAGCTAGATGATGCATTGTGGGAGGTGGAGGTTTCGGCGCTGTCGGAGTTGCAGCAGGCAGATTTGGTTATTACGAGGCAGTGGATGAGGACTCTGTTATGGCAGATGGCCATGTCGAATTGTTTGCTTAGTTCGCATGCGTCGTGTCCGTCGTTGGAGCTGGAGATGCCGCTGAGATTGTCGAGTCAGCTCAGGCAGTTTTTGACGAAGATCTCGCAGAATACGATTCGTATGCATGGATCGTCGATGATTAGCAAGTTGTTGGAGATTATTAATACTATTGCTGATGTGGTGATTCATGTACCGCAGGCGACTAGGGAGGAGACGACGAGTCGCATTGATGATATTGTGTTTATGCAGGGTGTTGTGCTTTCATTTCACAATTTGCAGGTTATGCCGAAGGATATTCTGTTGGATAAGTTTCGATTGATTAGGGGGAGGTTTCCACATATTGAGGTGGCTATGCAGTTGGCTGTTTAGTTGGAGGTCAGAGATATTCTGGCAAGGGGGCCAGGCGAAAGACAGGACTACTAATTTGAGATGGAGCGTGTGTTTAGCAGATTGCCATCCAACTGAACAGCAGCATATAAGTTGAAACCAGTGTTGACACTTGAAACCTAAGCATAATCCAATGACATATTGATATCAATATTACACACAAAAATCATTCCTCTAGACCCGCTTACAACGCAGATGTCACGTTAGAGAACTCGCCCTTCTCGAGCTTTGTGTTCCAGAAGATAGGGTTCATGTCATCGAATCCGTGGTGCACCCATCCCTCTTCCTTGACGTGGTACAGGTTAATGAAACCACCGGAGTAGGCATCACGGTGCATGGCAGCCAGAATGGCCCGACGGCCGAGGTTCAATGCCTCCTCCTCAGTCAGCTCGTATTTGTACTCGGCGTCCAGCACACCGTAGGCGAAAGTCTGACCGGATCCAACACAGAACAGGTTACCGGGGAGGCGGGTGCCGTCGGAATCAATGTAGTACAGGGCGGGTCCTTCTTGGGGCGTCATCTAGAGATCATTGTCAGTCTCCGAACACCATGGCTATGAATGATGTATGGGACGTACTCCTGCTAACATAGTTCCCATGCTAAGTCCGTATCCCTTGTAGGCGTAAGTGAGGTTGGCAAGAATCTTCGATGCGGCCGCAACAGTGATACGGCGCTTGTGTCGGATTTCTAGATGGAAATTCATCAGCATTGTCCTTCCACTTCCTGAAAATATCAAGAATCGAGCTGGCTTACCATGCAGAGTGCACTGCTGACTCAGATACCGCAACCAATATTGGCAATCCTGGCAATTCGCAACAATCATCAGCAACCAACGTCCACCACACCATCACTTGTGGTCAAAACTTACAGCTGCACCACCGGCCATCGTTCCCAGAAGACCTGGCGTCGGCTCATTTGTCTTCTTGTCCTCACCTCGGCTCAACCGCGATACAGGAATGACCTTCTTGACTGTCTGACTGGCAATCCAGTTGCCGGCTGTTGCTCGTGAATCGGTGCACACGATCTATCTCAATATATCAATCAGCACAACATGCTCCAAAATCAAGAAAACCAAGATAGAATCGAAAGATAGGAGGACAACGTACGATACCACCCTGGAATCGGAAGGCCAGAGTTGTTGTGCCGTGAGCGAGCTTGATAGGACAGCTGGGATTGGAGTGGTCATCGGTCATGGCACGTAAGAAAGCAGAGTGCTAGATAAAGGAAACCAGTGTCAGTCCATTATTTCATTTGTTTCAATCATAGATAGGTTCTGGTTGGCGGTTATCTTGGGCATAGCTGTGATGACAGCACATCTTAGGTTGACGTCAGGATAGACATCCATCCCCCGGCCAAACCGCCATCCAGAGCAAAAAGAATCTGCAACGATATTCATCGGGAACTCACGTTGTCGACAGGAGGAAGGCTGAACTTCAGCGAAAGTGGAGGAACGCTCGCAGTGAGGTCCTGCTGCTCTTGCTCTGAGTACATCTCATTCTGATGGGGAGCGCGCGAGTATTGGGAAACAAGCTTATCCATTGTGTGATGAAGTGGAAGAAAATAAGGGGAAAATTAGAAAAAAGATGCTGGGAAGACGTGAAAGGGATTCTGGTGAGACAGTCGAGCGATGGTTGAAGCTCCGCTGGAGCTCGGGGTTTCCGCGTCACTCTGGCGCCTATGGTCACGTGAATTATCTACTACAAAATCGCGATTTGATACTCTGTTTGATATTATATTATTATCATTTTGGAAAGAGAAGAAGATAAAAGACTGAATTAATGAATTAACGAATTAGCGAATTAAACTTTGCAATACACAATTTGCATATTTCCTGAGTATAGACCCCCCATGTTCAGTGCCAACGCCTTCCCGAAAACACCTGCACCGTTTGGTGCCTAATCTGAGGCGAGGAATCGAGTTTACACATAACAGCTGAAGTATGTCCGTATCGAACTAAAAAGGACATCACTGGACCTTTGAGAAGGAATCGATCAAGCAGAGGTAGGCTCGACCACCATCTTCGCGGGCAGCGCACCGCTTCCCACTGGTTCGGTGAAACCCTCAGTCACAGAGACATTCTCGAGAACATCCGACTGCTGTTCTGACACATCCTCGAGTCCATTGACGCCATTAGCCTGAGCCCGAGACTCCCGCTCGGTGGAGGAGCCGATAGGCTCGACGCTGGGTTCCCAATCACGGAGATCATTCTCAGCATCCTCGAGAACCTGGCGTGCCGAGAGCTCATGGTCATACGCCTGGCGTGCATCACCAGGGACAACAGGAGTGTCATCAATGTAGTGGAGCAGACGACGAGCGTGACGAGCCAGAATAGTCTGCTTCTCGGCGCGCTCAATAACGGCCGCCAGATGGATATCATAGGCCTCCTTGATCTTTTGCCGGGTCTGCAGATGAGATAAACATTAGCCAGTCGGAACCAACTTTACACATTACATAAGAACAGAGCGAAATCAGGATCAAACGTACGATATTAGACAGCTGCGCCTCAGCAACCAAGTTCTGAGCCTCAGCCCGGACAAGCTCATGCTCCAGCGTAACCAGACGTGGGCTGCTGGGATCCTTGTACTTGAGCTTGGCAATCTCGTCGGTGACCTTCTGACGCTGCTCGCGCGATGGCTGAACCGAGGCCTCCATGTTGCGAATCTGCTTCAGGATACTACGGTAGTCCTCGAGGTTCTGCGCAAAGCTGTCTTCCTGCTCGCCTATCTCGGCAAGCAGGACACCGAGCTTGTCGGAGATGTCGGAGACATTGTCGTCTTCAGTCGACTCTCCCCATTCAGAGAGCTGGGCGGCGATCGAGACGCGCTCACGGCCGGCAGCTTCGTGGGCACCGATAGCGGTGTTCTCGCTTTTGATCAGCTTGGTCATCTTGCGACTAAGCTCCGGCGCTTGCATCCCACGGAGGGTCGAGATGTTGAACCGCTGCCGGTTGGCAGGCGGCTCTTTGCGCGATCGGAATGAAAGGTTGCGGTTCCTAGTTGGTTTAGTCAAAGTGAGAGGTTATAGAATGTAGAATACGTACATCTTGTCTCTTGTGTAGATATGGTTCAATACAAGCTAGGATTGGGAGGATGTTAAGACGAGAAATTGAGAAAGCTGAATCTATAGGGAGGCAATGGAAAGTCATGTGGCACCTTCCTATAGATGACGATATGCTCGAACCCTATTCTCTTCTCTCTTTTCTTTTTGTCAGAGAGGAAGTATAGTCCCGGCTGACGTCATGAACGGGGAGGGGCGGATGTCGAATTCATGCACATCACCTTGTCCGATTGCGGAAATACTAAGCTTAATGCTGTAGAATAATCCTGAGTGGTGATGGTCTATATAAGTTTTGAGTGACCTTGGAAAGTATCTAGCCCTGGGCTGATCGTCATTCTCCACTTCCCGATCCACAGAGCCCCAGAGACTTGTTAGTTGATTACAATGCTATATGCACTTCCAAGGTTCATAGATATAGGTACATGTCATAATCATGGAAAAGAGAATTGTCTCTTTATTTTCAGATTCTGACTATGCGTGGACGCAATTGCTACCTTCCTAATTGGGAGATATTTGATTCGATCAATCCTACGGCGGAAGATACGATGAAAAATAGGGATTAAATTCATGAGATCCCACCCTCTATCCTCTCAATTCGAGGCGAGAAAAAAAAAAAGAAATTCGCTAAGCCAGAGGAAATAAAGAATCTCCCCTGGCCATCTGATGGTACACAACCAGCTAAAGCACCCTGCATAAATTCAGACCCCGCAACGCCTGGAACAGATCAGAATGACTGATCCGCAGATTCATTCGTTAAAAAAAATAAACACCGCCCCCCCCCCTTTCGTATGGAAAGATCTTAGGGCAGACTAGGAAATGTCATCCGTATCGGGGTTGTGTGAGTGTTCGTTGTCAGATGCATGGAATGCGTCACCAAACGCCGAGTTCTCTAGGTCTGGCAAGTCAAGCCCATCGTTCTGCTCGCTATAAGCCGCCAAAGCATCCCCGGCACTGTCGATGTTGGTAAAGTCGAAGTCTTCACCGACCGGCCCATGATCTTTGGCCTCATTGTTCACCATCACCCAGTCGTTGGTCTGGCCATTGGTGCCACCGTGGAGCTGGTCGCCCAAATCCATGTCAACATCACCGGACATATCAGCGCCGTGGATTGGTTGTCCATTGACAGAAACGCCTGAGACTACGCCTGCACCAACTCCTGGGCTTCCAAACTGGTTGAGTAGGTGGGAATCGTCGTCCATGACCATATCATTGGTAAACGAGTCAGGCTCGTCTTTGTGTTCGGGTTCAATCTTCTCCAGTAAACCACCCTTCTCGACACAGGATACCTTGGGCTCGGCAACGATTTGTTTATTCCAGGCAGTCTCAACTTCCCGGACTACCTCGTCAACCCTGTATTTGGCCTTATCTTCAATGTAATCCAATTGTGGGGTTTCATCCTCCGTTGGAATAACCACTCGGCCCTCCAGTCTCCAAATCTCCGGGCCCTTTTCGGTCGGGTCAGCAGCAGACTCTCGGAGGCGCAACTCGGCATCCTTGAGCAATGAGGTTCGGTTGAAACGTTGCATCCGGCGGGCATGTTGCTTCTTCAAGTTTTCGATCTCGGCGGTCATGTCCGCCACCTTTTTAGAGACCCGCTCAGCAAACTCCTTTGCCTTGGCCGGCTCCATCTTGTTAGCTTGCGGGGCGTCGCCCGCCTCCTGGCCTTCCCCACCAGGTGTTCCAACAGGAGCATCGAAGAAACCTGCGGTCAGGGACTCGAGCTCTCCCTTTCGGCCTAGGCCCAAAGAAACTGGTGTGATTTGTGAAATACTGTATGGCGACGCGAAGATTTCCTCCATCCACTCGTGATGCTGCTGGTATCGCATTTTGCTGACATCGCGGGGCGTCAATAGATCCATAGCGTCACCACTGGAGACGTCCTCATCTTCAATAGCAAAATCAGCTGTTGCAGAAGCGAGGGCCGCCGACGGCGCACGGTGTCCGCGTGGCCCTTTGGCCACGGGTGCATTGGGCGCAACTGCACCTGGATGACCCTGGGGGGCATAGAAACCAGGTCCGCGAGGCGCAGCAGCCGGAAAAGCACCGGGCTGAGCAAAGTTCTGTGGAGTCATTTGCGGGAAATTGATAACCGGCCAGCTGTTGCGATCATGAAGCAAAAAGTCCTTGCGGGCCAATTGCCCTTGGCTCTGAAGGAAGCGGCGCTGGCCCATCATGCCCTGGATTTGGGGTGTAACTTGGATCCGGTTTGCAGGCGCGTGATCCTGCGGCGCCGCACGGGTGTAGTGCACAATCCATAGTGATGGGTCGGGTTGGGGAGCATTCGGTACTTTGGAAGAGGTAATGCGGTAGCGCTTGCGGCAGTGGGTCGCCACGGGCTCATTGGGAGGGTGGAAACCGCTTCGGTGAAGGTACATCTCGACGGTCTGTATCCTCAGGTATTAGAATGGAGCCCACATAGAGTAAGGGAAGCTTTGTCGCAGGAAACATACATAGCCACGAGATTCAAAGGTAAAGGCCTGTTCCTGATCGGCCCAGATATAGCCATCACTAGCAAAATTATTGCCTAGGTGGTTTTGTGGCTGCCATGTAAGCATGACAGTACCATCCGGGGGACCATCTAAGAATGTCCAATGCATTGGCTGGGTTTGGCAGATCCGGGGTGCGCTCGTCAAATACTCGACAGCGGTCTCGGAGGGCATCATATGCATGCTAGGGTACCGGTTGCGCGAAACCAGGTGCATGTGCGGGAGCTATCATGATTGCGACAAGATTAGTGGGGGGTACAGATCATGAGTCAATCAACATAGGAAGTTGTTGGGGTCTTACCAGCTGCCCCGGGATGCGTGTGGCCGGGTCATCCATATTGGAGGCTTGATTGCTAAGTGCAATCAACTTTAGGAAGATATGATTAAATTAATTTCAGATCAAGTGAGGTAATTGGGATGCGATGGAGGTAGACAGGGCAAGAGCAATGAAGGATGGAGGTGTTCAATGAACGCGACACTACGCGGGAGATTTTTGATACGGTATCCGATACAGACCTGATATGCACAACACCTGAATTTACAGGCGTCAATTATCTTTCATGTGTCTTTCGGGTTTGAAAGGTCTATATCCCTTATTTATGTAATTTTGTGTAGTTATATAGTAGACAATAAGTGAATGTTTTTGCATACTCTGTTCATAGAAGGAATTAAAGAAAATTTGAATGGACATTGATAAATGAGAAAACGTGTAACTATTCTACACATTTGACAAACTAACTTACTACTTTTTTTCTATTAAATACATTGGTAAAACGTACCCCAGTTAAGATTCAAGATCAACAAAAGCAACATACTATCATCCCCTTGAATACATATAAAGTAAAAGTACCTAACTACATATGCAATAGTATATACCGGATTTTAGGCCGCGGTCGGGATTTTCCTGACCGGGATGCTGCCGCTTCATGAGGGCGCCCAGGGTCCTGTTCACTGAGCATTTAACAGCATAGAGTGAATAGTTTACTACTCGGTGAGCCCTTACTTTGTTTAATAAACAATCAGATGACACTCAGTGAGCACTCAGTGTATGATTAGTAATAATATACAAATAATGCTCAGGGTACAGTGAACGCTCAGGGCATCTCAGTAAGTAGACCTGGCACTCACCCTCAATTTAGACCCGCCAAGACATCAGGAAGGTCCAAATTTTGACCTTGGACCTTCTTATGTAATATTTTGAGGTATAAATAACTAACTAGTTAGGCCTAAATAGATAATTTTCTGCTTAGCAATGGTGTTTTACACCCCCGTTATGAAAAAAAAGGGACCCTCCGGCCAGGTCTATCAGTAAACACAAGACCTATATTGCCGGTGATTCTGACCGAACCTAGGAGTATTCGATCGCAGGTTGCGATTTCCTTCGAGTTATTAGCAATAAGTAACTACTAAATTACATAGTTAACTAACTAGTTAGCCGTCCCTCTACACTTACATAACACCGCTGAGGCCAACCAATGCTATTCTTAACCCTAGCACTAAGCTTTTCTTATGAATCTGATTGAGTAGCGTGATAGTTGATAGAGGGCTAGGTGGAGTTTCCAGTCGCACTAATGGTTGATCTTGACAATGAGGAACCAATAATATTCACTGCCTCGCTAACAGACCCACCTTACTCCTCGGGGGATGCGGTGATCAGTCATAACCGCGACCAACTTTACATGTTGACACTTAGTAATTCTCCTACTAGGTGGGGTGCCGGATAGATCGATACCGAAGTATTGGTAGTGTTTATTAGGTTATAATGTCGAATCCTAGGTTTTGGTAATATCTTAAGCCCAGATATGTACAGCGTCTCTAGTCATAGTCAATGAACCTGTTTTAGGTACTGAATTACAAATGTTTCCAGTACTGTGGCTCTCGAAGTGGTTGTGGGCGTGCTCAGCTTTACTGAGAGAGCGGCAAGGGTGCATATGTACTTCCCAACCTCATTCAAAAGCAGCTCCACCTAAGCTTTTGCCAATTCCTCCGCATTCTATTCTCCAATTCTCCACTCAAAATTTCGTGTCTTAGCAATAGATATTATAGTTTCTGCAGATCCACCAATCATTAATATAACCTGAGGTCATATTACCTTCCTGTGCTACCTCTGCCGATCTGGCTCTTTTTCTCCTTTCACCCCACGAGTATGACTCCAACCCTCGGAGATCTGCCCGAGTCCTTTCTCTCTCTCCCCCCCCCTTTTTTTTTTACCTCCAGACTAGTATTATATTGTCCATTGTCCATTGTGACGTCTCAAATTCACCATGGGCTTCTTGCAAAAGCAGGAGCAACCGGAAGATGTAATCCAAGCAGCCCCGGAGGAAGATGTTGAGAAAATTGCTGTGCCCGCTCACGAGGAGAAACTGCCCAATGTAACCTTGCCGGCTATTGACCCTGAACTAGAGCGTCGAGTGGTAAGGAAATTGGACTGGCGTGTTCCAACCTTACTGGGATTTTTATGTGTGCTTCGAACTCAAGACATTAAACGAACGTATAATCTAACCATGTCTTTCTGTGGCTAGATCTCCTCGCTTTCCTCGACCGAAGTAACATCGGGTTAGTCCGCGATACGATCTTTGGACTTGCAAGTGCAATGGCACAACCGCTGACAATATAAACCATAGTAATGCCAAAATCGCTGGCATGGAAGTGGACCTCGGCCTCGATGGAAAAAGCTACGCCTGGCTCTTGACAATCTTCTATATTTCATATACATTGTTTGAATTTCAAGCACTGATGTGGAAGATTGTCAAACCACACCAATGGGCCGCCTGTGTGGTGTTCTCCTGGTACGAATCCCACATGCAATGCTGTCAACCAGCCGGAATTGCAAAGTATATGAATCTATGAACAATAAGCTGACAAACGATGGAAAGGGGCTTGATGGCAACGTGCCAGGCAGCGGTCACTAATTGGCAAGGTATGATGGCACTCCGGTTCCTGATGGGCGCATTCGAGGCTGGCTTTGGTCCCGGTGTGCCCTATCTGCTGTCATTCTTCTACCGCCGCCACGAACTGGGTCTCCGATGCGGTATGTTCCTGTCTGCCGCGCCGCTGGCAAATACATTCGCCGGTGCCTTGGCCTATGGTATTACTTCGGGACATGCTTCGTTGGCAAATTGGCGATTGCTGTTCCTGGTTGAGGGTGTTCCGGTCTGCGCGGCTGCGGTGCTGGCTTGGTTCTATTTGCCAGATAGCCCGCTGGACGCTAAGTTCCTGACTGCGGAAGAAAAGGATGTTGCGCGTGCGCGTGCACTGCAACAATCCGGTGAGACGGATCGCACGGGCAAGGTCCAATGGAAGGAATTAGCCATGACGCTTCTCGATGTGAAAGCGTGGCTTACAGCAGTAAGTCAAACATCAGCATTGTGTATAGTGTACGAAGAACTTGCTGATGTTAAACCGTTTACCTAGTTGATGTACTTCAGCTGTAACGTTAGTTTCTCATCTCTCCCCGTGTTCCTACCCACCATTCTCAAGGAAATGGGCTTTACAGCCATCAACGCCCAGGGGCTCACTGCACCTCCATTCTTTGCCTCATTCCTAGCGACGATCGCGACCACCTGGGTGGCGGATCGCATACAACAACGTGGATTGATGATCGCGGCTTTATCAATGGTCGGTGGTGTGGGGTACATTCTTTGCGCGACTTGCACATCAGTGGGTTTTCGATACTTTGGAGTATTCTTGGCGGCCTGTGGGATCTTCCCCTCGATCGCCAATATTCTGCCTTGGGTTCTGAGTGGGTCATTTCCTTAATCACGTTGTACAATTTGCTGTCGGCATTTTACTGACTGTATTGTACAGACAATCAGGGCTCAGATACACGTCGTGGTGGAGGTATTGTTCTACTCAACCTGATCGGCCAGTGTGGTCCTTTCCTGGGCACCAATGTTTTCCCAGATGATCAAGCCCCCAGGTATATAAATGGTATGGCAATATGTGCTGCTTTTATGTTCTTCACTACACTCCTCGCTTTGAGTCTGCGTGTGCTCCTGGTATGGGAGAACCGGCGCCTTGACAAGAAGTATGGGCCTCGCATTGAAGACCCGACAAAATCTGTGAATACCCCGGTGGCGGAGGATAATTACGGTGCCAGTTATCGTTTTGTGCTGTGATTTTTGCGTCTCGCAGATATATCCCTGTATATTCTGCACTTGTGTTTTCATATCGAAGGCTGTGATGACTATGATGTCAGAAAGCCTACAGGGTCTTCGAAGCGAAAAAGATATAGGCATACGGAATTTCCTATTGCATTCACAAATGTGGGTGGATCTCATCCCCGGTAATAATTGCTCCCATTATGCAATGCTACCCCATTCTGCGATGCTGCCCAGGTGGCGGTCCATCGTAGTCGATCGTCAGTACATCGATGTACCAACTGCCAAACACCCTATACGTTTAGACAAGATTGATAGCATCCCACAGTATAATAGTATACTTTGTTCCCATCTACAGCCCATCTATAGAATTTAGTAGCTACCTTACGTTGCACTAGAAACCTCCGTGGGGCAAAGAACCCGGAACAGAACGCTCCGGCCACTCATGAAGCTAACAGCTCGAAAAGTTACAAACGTCACTTGGATCTCATTCGTGCAACGTAGCTCACCGAAGAAAACAGCTCACCGAGGAAACCGGAGGGAGTCGGAGAAAGTATATCCAGGGATGGTGGGGGGTGCATATAAGGTTGAGCTGCCCCTCTTCTCTTCTCTTCTCTTCTTTCTTCCATCCACTGACGAATTTACATTACAACAGTAACTATCTACTACCATATACTTCATATATCAGGGCTGACATTTGTTTAGATCCCAAACAAGTACATACTGCCCTTCCTTTGGGAGCCATGGATACTCTTTGGCTGGGCATATTATCCCTCAGGGATCAAGGTATCTCAGGTAACTTCTGGGTGATGAGCCGGTGTTCGTTCTTGCGTCGGTGGTGAATTCAATGTTTGGATATACATCTAGACATCGGATTCATCTTCGGCGTGGGTTCGTTCTGAGATTATACGGCCTTTAACTTGATCTGGATAATACCAGCGAAAGGATCATGCCCTCCCCCTTCCTATCCCCCTAAGCTAGAGTAGTCAAAACTAACCAAAGCACAAAGTCATATCTTCGACTTGATCTCTGAACCATTATGTCTCCTCCTGCTGCCATGTTTGAGCCTGCTACTGTTGCCCCTACCGACATCAAGGGCAAGGTCATCGTCCCCGAGTCGGTGACCACCACCCTAACCGGTCAGGGCCAGTCAAAGCTCCTTGAACAGTTCGGCAACAAATGGGATGAGTTCAAGTTCGCCCCGATCCGCGAGAGCCAAGTCTCGCGCGCCATGACCCGGCGGTACTTCCAGGATCTGGACAACTACGCCGAGAGCGATGTTGTCATCGTCGGCGCTGGTTCCTGTGGTCTGAGCACTGCCTATGTGCTCGCCAAGGCCCGACCAGACCTGAAGATCGCTATCGTGGAGGCCTCTGTGTCGCCCGGTTAGTCCTGTCCCATGCGAGCAGACACTCTCTTGTAGACCTCGGCCCTCCACCCAATACAGCATCACTAACATACAATATAGGTGGTGGTGCCTGGCTAGGTGGTCAGCTTTTCAGCGCCATGATCCTCCGACGCCCTGCAGATGCCTTCCTGACCGAGCTCGGCGTGCCCTTCGAGGAAGAGCCCACGAACCCTAACTTCGTGGTCGTCAAGCACGCCGCTCTGTTCACGTCGACGCTCCTGTCAAAGGTCCTCGCCTTCCCTAACGTCAAGCTCTTCAATGCGACCTGCGTCGAAGACTTGATCACCCGCCCAGACGGCGACGATATCCGCCTCGCCGGTGTCGTCGTCAACTGGACCCTCGTCACCCTCCACCACGACGACCACTCCTGCATGGACCCCAACACCATCAATGCTCCGATCATCGTCAGCACTACTGGCCACGACGGGCCATTCGGCGCTTTCTGCGCTAAGCGTCTTGTCTCCATGAACGCTATTGACAAGCTGGGCGGCATGCGTGGCCTCGACATGAATGCGGCTGAGGACGCTATTGTTAAGAACACCCGTGAGGTCGCTAAGGGTCTTATCATTGGTGGTATGGAGCTGTCGGAGATCGATGGCTTTAACCGTATGGGCCCTACTTTTGGCGCTATGGTTATGAGCGGTGTCAAGGCTGCCGAGGAGACTCTGCGTGTCTTTGAGACCCGTAAGCGCGAGTGTGCTGAGTAAATTCGCACTCTCTCGTGCTGGCTCGCTTGGTCGTTTCTGCTTGCTTCTTGCTTGATGCTAGTGGACTCGGTGGAGGCTCATATAACTTTGATGATGACGATTTCTTAACAAATACACACACTCATTTCGTGCCAATTCTCTTCTGTTTAAGCCCGTAGACAAATATCTTATCTTGAGAAATTGATCTTGTTTTCGAATTATGAATTAGGTTTGCCAATCCAGGAAAGACTAGCCAGGGGCATATAGTATACTACGCTTGCGTTAAATATACACATGTAAACAGACGAAGAAATCATGTAATCCAGCCACCTCTCCTAGGAATAATTAATTCCCTTTCCACCAAACAGCTTGTGAAAAAAAGATCAATCATCCTTGTGATCTCTCTCCGTTTCCCCCAAAGCAATGTCTGCGCCTGCCTCAGCGGCAACCACCAAGCTTCTTGCATTTCTGACCTCCCACTCAAACTCCTTCAAGGCACGCAACTCACCCGACATGAATAGTCCACCAATCAAACCATCCAAAATCCCAGCGCCGAAGTTGAGCGTGCTGACCAGGACGAGAATGAATCCGATGTAAGTGCGGCTGCCAACCCACCACACCCCAACCATACAACCAATAGAAACCACAATAGATACTAGGAAATGCGCCAGACGCCAACGGCGCTGAGAGCGTTCACGGTACACGTATGTGTGAATCATGTCAATGATATGGTCGTATGTGTCTGGGGAAAGCGCAGCATTGGGGGAGACGGGTTTTGAAGTTGTTCTATGTAAGGTAGGAGAATTGGGAGAGGCTGGAGCAGAGTCTATGGACTGGGAAGGAGGGTATGTCGGTACCGACGAACGGGTAATGACAGCTTCAACGGCGAAGTGGTCGCTCAGCGAGCAGAGGAGAGTGGGATGACGCTGCGTCATGGAGATTTGAACCGACTCGACTGACCAGCTAGACGGCGGGAACGCAGGCGGGTAACCACCGTCGCCGATGAAGATATAATCTAGGCGTTTGCCACGCGGGTCTGGGGTATCCTTGTCAATAACAATGTCCTCACCCTTGACTAGGCGCTTGCGCATGTCCTCAGTCCAGCGCCAGGTATTGAACGACCCGTCGCACGTAGCTCCATTCTCAGCAAGATTGAACTCGGCCGTTGGAATAGGCAGATTCCGTGCTTTTTCAACAGGATCAATTGCCGCCGCGAGGGACGAGTCTGGGTGCAGCTCGCGCCATACATCGCGAACGGGACTCTGAGCGGTGATGAGGCGGTGGGCGAACGAGGAAGGAAGCATATTGAAGTCACCTAGGCCGATGACTAAATGACCGCGCTCTGCAGCGCCACGCATGAGCTTAGAGATCTCCCATGCCTGTGCAGTCCGGTGGCAGAGATATGAATCATTCGGTTCGCGCTCATACGGAGCATGTAGGTGAGTGCAGAACACCTCGGCGACATCAGCAGTACCGGGGCCGAATCGAACGCGTGCGCTGGCGACACCTTTCCCCACGAACCAATCTCCTCTGAAAAATGCCGTTGGCCGGCCATTCAACGGGTAGCCGAACATGCTGCTTTCCTCGATTGGCCATTTTGACAGAATCGCCAATCCCGCGCCAAATATGCCGCCGTAATAGAATTTCCCATATGGCAGGATGTGTCGTGTCTGATCGCGAATGCTTTCAAAATCCTGCTGTGTCCAACATTCTTGCAGTCCGACTATCTCCGGCGGCGGGTTTGCTATTGCCAACTGCCGCCCAATCTCCGACATGCGTTCATGGCGGTACTTCGCGATGTATTTGAGACCCCAGCAGTTAAACGTGAGAATGCGGATGTCGCTTGGGGCTTTTGAGGGGATAGAGCAAGCCATTGGATCATATATTGACCGAAATGAGCTTTGAAGACTCGGTTTAGGGTTTCTGATCGGCCAAGAAGTGCTCAAGAAGTGCCAAACAAAGATCGGAGGTCGATATTCCAGCTGAATGTCCACGGGTCCACGTGCTTGTTTAGTTAGTATGACGCAGGCCAACAAGAGCTTGCCCTCGCGCTCACCGCCTGCAAAACACGACACCGCCTTGATATTGTGCTTCGCGGCGCGTCCATTGATTTTCGTTTTCGAGGCTTGAAATTAGCAGTTGTTCCTAATTTCGGCGTATTTGCATCATTTGTTTGGATGCTTTTGCGTGTTGCTATTGTAAAATGGAGCATGTAAACCCCAAACCTCGACGCCGAGATCCTCGCGCGCAATCACCCGCTGAGTCGTCCGCCGATGAACTCGCAGCAGGCTCCGACCACGACGAAGCCGAGCGCCGCCGAGCCAGCTGGACTATGCAAAAGGCTTTCACCCCCCAGCGCCCACAGAAGACTGGACGTCTCTACAGCGAATCTGAGAGCCCCGACGAGTTAGCTGTGGACGCCGACGAATACTGGCGTTCCTCACGCATGCGCAAACGTCACCGAAGCCCTTCTCCAATCGCCCACACCAACATGCGTGACGACCATTCCCAGGGCGGATCGGATGATCTCCCTGACGACAACGTGCCTGGCTCAAACATTGACCAAGCTCACGACGCCGACAACTGGTCCAATCGTTCTGAGACGCCTGTTCCTACTCCAGTGGCCGCTTCCATTCCCAACAATGTGGACTATAGGGAGAAATTTGTCATGCATGGTCACCTACGTGGAGTCTCAGCTGTGCAATTCTCGCCGGATTGCTCTATGATTGCCAGTGCTGGTACGTCTTATGCTCATGATCTACTTACTACATGACTTGAGAATTGACTTTGCACAACAGGTGCGGACGCAGCTGTCAGGATCTGGGACACTGCGAGCGGTAGACTCATTCACATCTTCGAAGGACATCTCGCTGGTATTTCCACCCTTGCCTGGGCCCCTGACGGTGAATGGATCGCAACTGGTTCCGACGACAAAACAATTCGCTTGTGGAACGTGAACACTGTAAGAAACCCCTCTATCATATTATGTCCTAGGGCCTCTTGCTAATGCTTAGATACAGCTCAAGGCCCACACCAAGGTCTTTGATGGCCATCAAAACTACGTGTATCAAATCGCATTCGCGCCGAAGGGTAACATCCTTGTCAGCGGTTCCTACGACGAGGCCGTGTTCATGTGGGATGTTCGCCGAGCCCAAGTTATGCGCTCCCTTCCAGCCCACTCCGATCCTGTCGCCGGTATCGATGTTGTGCATGATGGAACCCTTATCGTTTCATGCGCCCTGGATGGACTTATTCGCGTCTGGGACACCCACAGCGGCCAGTGTCTCCGCACCCTAGTAATGGAGGACAACCCACCTGCAACTTGCGTCAAGTTCTCCCCCAACGGCAAATTTGTCTTGGCCTGGACCCTGGATAACTGCATTCGGATGTGGCATTATGCTGAGAGCCGTGTCCTCAAGACATTCCAAGGCCATGTCAACACGAAATACAGCTTGTCGGGATGCTTCGGTACTTATGGGCCCCAAAATGGGATCTACGACCCGCCCCTATGTTTCGTCGTCAGCGGCAGTGAGGATGGTTCTATCTTCTTCTGGGATCTTGTGAGCAAGCAAATATTGCAGCGCCTTGACGGACATACAGGCGCCGTGCTTTGTGTTCACACTGGTACCCTAAACGGCAAGCGTATGGTTGTCAGCTGCGGGGTGGACAAGACGGTTCGTTTGTGGGAAGAAGTAGGCGAAAACGACGACGGCGATGATGCATTCAGCGGTAGTGTCACCCCTACCCCCGAGTCCCACTCGCAGTCCCACTCGCAAACCAACACCCCTGCCCACGATGCAGATGGCGATAATGCCATGACTGGTGTGTCTGCTGTGTCTTCCACTGCCGCCACCCCGGCGGAAGATGCGACTGCGGAGGATGTGACCATGGCATGAGCTGATCTCTGCCATCTACCTAACGATTTTTCTTTCTTTCTGCATAGGCGGTTGCTTTTCGGGAAAAGGAAAATACCCCGGCGTCTGGTGTCATTCTCATATGGACAATTTGTGTTTTCCGGCTGTTCTTCCAGCTTGGACTTTTATTATCAGTCATGTGACTTCATCTAATTGATACTTGCATCACATTCGAACATCTGACATATCGAGCGAATGTAATTACTCAGAATTTGATCATACATTTCGCTCATAACATTAAACAGCAAAACTTAGTCTGTTTTAGAATCGGTAAAAATATTCCATCTTCTAGCTTGTTACCCTACTCTTCTTGCGTCAACATTCAATTTTCCCCTTTGGTCGACAGGGCGGCCGGGAGCTCCTGCATAGGCTCTATATGAAAACAACAAAAACTGCAAGGAATCAGACCTACAAGACCTGGTCGCATTGTTTGCAACAATATATCAATTGATCCGAAAGAATACAAGCTTACTTTCATCTTAAAACAAAGAGAGCCCTGTAGAAGTATATATCATTGATCACTTGCCCTGTTGGGTGACTATTTATAGACTTAGCCCCCACTATCTTTCCCTTCACCTACTAAGTGTCTAGGAAATACCGAGGCAGGTATATCCAAGAGCAGATGCAATGAAGCACCGCTCATTTGTAACCGTTTCTGAAGCGAAGTGTGGTATGAGAATCCTTCAACGCGAAGCAAGGATCTACAAATACTCAGATCAGATTCCATTCTTGGGTGCGCAAAATGCAAAAATGGCTCCATGTATGTAAGCAGAACATTTACCCCAAATGGAGATGATTTACTCAGATCTTCCGTCTGACCTCATAGTAGTATGTGTTCAAGAGTTCGGTCTTAAGGGACATAAATAGGGATATTCTGCGGCCATGTTGCCTGTACTTTCGGACACTATATATATCCGAGACTATTAGCATGATAAACGGGGTGCTGGAAAACCATGACCTGATAAAGGCTCCCGGAATCAAGAATTTATGTAGGCTGGATTGATGATGCAATCAACCAACACACCGTATTGTGTATATTTCATTATTCTAATTCAAATTAGGACCACTTGTCTGCAACATAGAGGTTGATATAATAGCTACACAAAACCAATCCTGCAATGAAGTTTCCACTCCAATGCCCTACATATCCTGTAGCTTATATTTGTTTGGATAATTGAGCCAACCTCCAAATGAACGCGCAACGCCGAAAATTCCAGGGTATCTCTTTCAACAAGTCGTCTAATTGCCAACGATCTGGCTCGCTGTAGCAGATGCGGGATCTGACACGCTGGGTGCTAGATCAGACCCAAAATCACCAGCCCAGCCAGCAGGAGGTGTGTCATATGAGTGAACAGATTGAGTCCCATCAAGTTGTTGGGCAGCTCCTTTGTCAGCCAAAGAAGATCGAGCAAGGGTCTGTGTCTTCCTCAGCCCGTCCTCATTCAGGAACCGACGAAGTGACTCCTTGCCAACTTTATAATCAACCACCACAAGTAGTTCATCGTATGTAATTTGAGGATTCGCATGAAAAGCCTCGCGGATTCGGGCTCGATCTTCGTCCTTCAGCTTAGAGGGTCGGCCAGAGCGGGCTTGTGAGTGGTTATTGACCCGATTGCTCTCTCGGAGAATGGTTGATTTGATGGTGGAGAGTGGGATATGTGGGTATTCATTCTGGATCTGTTTGTAGGTCCATTTGGCTGTGGTTCTGAGCACACAGAGCCGGGTGCGAAGGAATGGATCAAGTTCGGCCCCACGTCGACGAGATCTTTTCTCGGGTTTATCTGGAATCTCGGGCTTCTCGAGCCCCTCGGGCCCCTCGGGCCCCATGGTAGCGAGGTTGTGCCTGGAGAGAGACGTGAAGAGCGGGGTGGTGGAATGGGAGTCTTGAGTCACGATGTAGTAGGCGGTATGGATAGTACATTTTCTGCCGCCTGGCCCGAACTGGAAAGTCGTACGAAGTATATATCCTCATGTCTGAATTCATTCACGTTTTCGCCTGTATAAATCACAGGTTACATAAGTTATTTGTAAGGATTAACGCTTAACATTGCGAATGTTCCGCTGTGGCCATTGTTTAATTATTTCAACTTCTGGTAATAGCACCGTAGAAAGAAATAAGACAATATTTGAATTACTTTGTAAATGAGGGCATTCAAGAAAAGTATCTACAACATGCTTAGATCTTTACTCCATACTCCATATTTAGCTCTCAAATAGAAAGCTTTTTTATGTTGCTTTCATAAATAGATTTCCTTGGCGGGGCTCTTCCTGGAGACGCGGAATCAGGCCCCTATTTTGTAGTTGCTCCATATTAATATCATCAGGAAGGGGTTTTTTTCCCATTGGTAACAATCAATCTGAAACCATGTGAAATGAATCTTTTAGAGATAAATCTCTCCAAAATATTCATAGAGTATTCTGTAACTACTCTGTAGCAACAAGCTGGGTACTCTATATAGAGTTCACGAGTTGGACAAGTAATAATTGTGAAAGGCTGAAGGCGAATATAGTGATAATCACAATAATTGATGGAGGTGCCATGGGCTATCGAAAGCGATAAGAATAGATATCCGTGGCACGGCGCTTGGCCTTGTCTCACATTAATGGGACCATAGGGTGAACCCACCCCAAATTTGTTTGTTTTACACATTCACAGCCCAAGGTGTGTGCGCGCGCACAAAATATGATTCCTACTCCTGTTAACTGGATTGGTCGTACGCATACTTCACTAAGAACATTATGTGTCCATCCAGAAGCCTGTAAGGGGGGTCCACCGGTAAGCCTAGAACTAGGATGGGATCTTCGATGCTCCAGTCATACTTGAGCCCTGTTCTCCCAGGGCTTATGTGTACATCCCTCGAGTACACGTCATAAGAGGGATGTTTGAAAAAAGGCTATGCACTTGTATGCAAAGCCAACTGTTGGGTCTGCAGGTACCGAGTGAATTAATTTTGAATGGTCGAATCATAAATAGGAGGTAATTGACATCCCGTGTGGCTGGTGTGGCGTTTATTTTTTTAGTGCACTCCCTTGCGATACTCTGTACTGTTCCATGGACGGGAGAGAACTTTAGCGCCACTTGGGCTGGAACCCCGGTAACTTGAGGGGGGGGAACCTTGGGTCAAGTCTGGAGGAAAGCTTCATATTTGTTAGTTTTACCTCACATATCTACAGAGTACTACCTATATGTACATAGGTAGTGACTCCTTTTAAGAATTCGACGATATTGTAACATAAATTCAAGGTATATAAGTCTAATGAAAATAGTAACATACCGATTGTTGGGCCTAGACTGAAACGGGGGGAGCCAATCAGTCCCAAATTCAGGGGCCAAGATTAGACTGATCGGTCGTAATTCTCTACGGTCGAGACTTTCCTCTCTTTTCTTCTTTTCGACTGATTATCACATTGTGAGAGGGGGAATATCATTCACTAATCTCCAATCGCTTCCTCTCTCTCCTACTCTCCTACTCTCGTTCATTGTTTCTTTACAGCTGGTTTGCTCGAAAACCGTTGTCTCACAACCCCACGTCTTTGCGACCCTTTCGACTCATTTATTATTTATCTTTTTCGTTTCTTTTCTACAGCACAGCGGGTTGATCCTGCTTTACCTTTTTACCTTTTTTTTTCCCCCTTGTGACTTACCCACAGTCATTCCATATATCGTCACAGCCCACCCGATCCTCGCGCCATCCCTCCATCCTTGATGAATACGCGCCTACTTGGTTCAAACTATTAGATTTTGGATTGGTATAACGTATCGAATATCAATCGTGCTCGGCCAACATGCAGAACTATATTTGGGCTCTGCTGGGCCTGGCCATGGTGCCTCAAGCCCTGGCAGCCGACACCCTATCCACGAGCGGATTCAACCTGTGCATGACCGATTCGGCAATCAACGTCCAAAAGATGGATGTTACCTACACTCGTTCTACTGGAATAGTTGTCTTCGACGTGGCTGGTACCAACGCGATGCAACAGAAGGTGCAGGCGGCTATCACCGTCACTGCCTATGGCAACGAAATCTACAAGAAAGAATTTGATCCCTGCGGCGACGAGATTCATGTGGACCAACTCTGCCCCGTGCCCAAGGGGACTTTCAAGGCCAGTGGATCCATGGAGGTTCCGTCCGAATATGCTAGCCAGATCCCTGGTATCGCATTCAAAATACCTGACTTGGATGGCCAGGCAAAGCTTGTCCTGAAATCCAAGAAAGAGGACAAGAACGTGGCATGTATCGAGTCTCATTTATCCAACGGCCACACCGTCGACGTTGGCGCAGTCAAGTATGTCTCGGCCGGAATTGCGGCAGGCGCTCTAGCACTGAGCGGTGTCTCGGCTCTTGGTTCGGCGGGAACTGCTGGAACACCGTCCAATAGCCCTGGATTTGGCGATGTGATGGGCTGGTTCCATTCCATGGCCACCAATGGCATGCTCAGTGTCGCCTACCCCCCTGTCTATCGCAGCTTCTCCTCCAACTTCATGTGGAGTACTGGTTTGATCCCTTGGGCTGGCATGCAGCAGTCCATCGACAAATTCCGAGAGGCCACTGGCGGTAACTTGACCACGGAAAGCTATGAGTACCTGAAGAACTCCTCTGTCACGCACAGTAGCTCATCCACCAACACAACGAAACGGAGCTGGGATTACACCCTCGAATTCGGCGCGATGGTCGCTCGCTCGGTTGAGGCCTCCGCCGATCCTAGTGTTTCGGAGAGCTCTTCAGACAGTGAGGGTGAGGAAAGTGGCTCTTCGAGCACGGTTAGCGACCTGAAGGAACTCGCTCAGGAACTGATGGTTCCTTCTGCCAATATTTTCATGACTGTTCTCCTGATCTTTGCCATCGTGATTGCCGTCGTTGTCGTCGGTATTCTTTTAGTGAAGGTCGTCCTGGAACTGTGGGCGCTGTATGGCAACTTCCCCAACAAGCTGTCCGACTTCCGGAAAGATTACTGGGGCTTGATGGCACGGACAATCACCAACATGATCCTCGTGCTTTACAGTATCTGGGTGCTATACTGTGTCTACCAACTACGAAAGGGTGACTCGTGGGCAGCAAAGACGCTGGCTGCCATAACCCTCTCTATCTTCACAGCGGTTCTTCTTTTCTTTGCCATTCGCATTGTCTACATGGCTCGCAAGTACAAAAAGGCCGAGGGAGATGCCTCCAGCCTGTACGAGGACAGGGAAACCTGGAAAAAATACAGTCTGTTCTACGATAACTACAAGAAGGACTTCTGGTGGCTCTTCATCCCAGTCATTGTCTACGCATTAGTCAAGGGCTGCATCATCGCCGGTGGCGAAGGCCACGGTTTGTTCCAAAGTGCCGGCCAGCTCGTCTGCGAAATTCTTCTGTTGGGACTCTTGGTGTGGAGCCGCCCATATGCCACCAAGGCATCAATGGGAATCAACATCGCCGTCCAGGTCGTCCGTGTTCTGTCCATTGTTTGCGTCCTAGTCTTCGTCGAAGAACTTGGTCTTTCTCAAACAACTAAAACTGTCACTGGCATTGTCCTCATTGTCGTGCAGTCCACTCTCACCGCAGTCCTCGCTATTCTCATCGCAGTCAATGCCATCATCAATTGCTGCCGTGAGAACCCGCATGAAAAGCGAAGAAGAGAAGCTGGTAAGTCAAAAGCTACTTTGTGATCCAAGCTCCATCCCAACATGTACATATACTAACGATTCCTTTCTTATAGAAAAAGCAAACCGCGACCTCGACGACCTGACTCCCTTGGACGCCCGAGACTCCCTCCTTATGGACCACCCGCAACGCAAGGATTACGCCGAGATGAGCAACTTCAACTTCACCGGTCCATACGAGTCTTACCGAGACGAACCCAAGCGAGCCGGGCCAACTGGCAGCGACGAACGCGCTGGCCTAGTCCACAATGACTACGGCGTGGCACACGGGCGCAGTGCAAGCCCCGACAGCCACCACTCGCGAAGCTCTCTCGAAGGCCGTCGTCCTGCAGCTCCGGGCTACGGGATGGCATATTAAAAAAACAACTAAAAAACAACTAAAAAACAACCAACGAAAGCGTCACAGACTCGACATGACGTTACAACTCTTCTTGCTTCTATATTTTTACCTTCCTCGACATTTTTAGATCGGACACACGCGTTGTGACTTGGGAGTTACTTTTTTTTGACGGTTTTTAGCGTGTGCTTGAAAATGGCGGGCATTTTTGATCTTCCCGCCTTTAGATGCATCTTCTTGTGTGATATCACTTACATCCATTCTTTTTTTATCTTGTCTCTATACATACCTCATTCATTATCATCTTTACCATCTATCATTTATATTACAGTTTGCACTTGATGAGAATTTCTTCATATTGAGTACTTAATCCTTGTATCTTATTACTAGTCTGTAACCATGCCGAGATGAGTATGTTGTGGCGAAATAACCTCTCGTGGACTATTTTTGAAAAAATGTCCTAATAGTACTCCAAAGACAAAGCTCAAGTGCCTTGTCCCTCCTCTAGGACACAGATCTACAGGTAGAAACATTGATATGCGTGGGGAAAGCGAAATGGATAAATGTATATACAAGACCAACCAAGGGGGTGTCATCTATCTGCACAAGCCCATGAAGAGTTTCCCTGGTAATTAATATATCTCCCATAACGTATTGGAAGTTGGATGTTTACCCTTCTAACAGATCTTTGAACACCAGCCCAGGTACGCATTTGATTGATCACCAAATCATCAACGTTTCCAGGGCCGTACATTAATTTAAGAAGAGCTGAATACTAAAAATTAATGTAGAATTATACCCTCCAGATTGAAACAAGCGTAAATTGCAAAGGCTGTGGTGTAAGTGCTATTTGTAGGTCACGAACTGGGCAATCCTGTCCATGTCACGTGGATTGCGTGGCCCTATCTAGCAGACAACCCATCCATTTAATTTGATCACCACACCATACGAACAACGATTCTGATCTCAAGATATATGAATATTTATCTAGAAGTGTCTATAACCCCCTTAATCATAATTTAATCTACACAAAATGGTCCGTGGCTTGATTGAGCCGTGTCGCGCTGGCTCTCACCTAGAGATACAATGACTTGGGGAGCCCCAAACCTTGCTATCCAGCAACGAAAACCTAGCAACGAAAACCCAGCAACGAAAACCCGAAGCCCTACGCCCTACTGGCTACGAGATCATCTACAATGTAGCTCAAATGAACACTTTTGACTCTTGATTGTGAGGCTAACATCACAACAGAAAGTAGTGTATCAACGAGTTCGAACGAAGGTTAAAGACTCGCTTTCACCGATCGCCGAACAATTTCCCTCCCGGTGACACGAGAAACCTCGACTCAAGCCTTGATTCCCAGACCTCGACACTGGCGAACAAAAGCTTCGCCCACGAAAGCACCGAACCAGAGACAACCTTGAAGTGAAGACAAAGAGTATGGAAATCACCAATACAACCAGTTCGCCGGGCCCCAACTTCGCCTTCGTTGGCGGCCACACAATTATCAATCCATGAGGCCCAAATTCGCTGGCCCCAGGTAAAAAAAAGACTTAAAAAACACATAAAAGAAACGAAATCGTAACTGAAACGAGAAGAGGCTAGATGTTACTTTGAGATAGCCCCAACGAGCAGCTTAGCGCTGGTAGGGGTGGTAGGTACGGTGTCCTCCTCGGCCACCACCACGGTAGTTCGCACCAGGCTTGCCGGCGTTACGGGGTCCAGTCGGAGCATTAGGAGGAGCAGTGCCCTGGGGCTGAGGAGTGGTTCCTGTTTGAGAAAAGTGTTAGCGAATGCGAGCAAAGAAAATAGGAACGGGGTTTAGATGAAAGGGACACAATATGCAGAAACTCGTAAGAATCACATACCACTACCCGAACTTCCAATGCGTCTCATACCTGCTGGTCCGGTCGGGACATGAGGTTGAGGAACTTCATCGTACATGCCCTCCCACGAAGTTGGGCCACCCTGCTGCTGGTAAGGCGAGAAACCGCGAGGGTCCATCGAGCGGTTAATCTGCTGCTGCTCATACTTTTGCTGCTCGAAGGCGATCTGCTCGGTGGCGTTGTATCCAGGTCCGGTTTGTCCTCTGGCTGGGGTTCCAGCTCCGTTGTTGTAGTTGGCGGCCATCGCGGCGGCGTTGGGAACGGGGCTGGCACAATCGCTGCCTGGACCGCCGGGAACATTGGCTTGGTTGGGCTGCATCATAGCGGGGTTCATCATGTTGGGCATAGCCTGCTGGGAGCCAGGGCTCTGAGGGCCGGGGCTCATAGTACCTTGCTGCTGGGCACCCATCTGCTGTTGCTGCTGCTGGCGCATCTGCATCTGCTGCATCTGTTGCATCTGCGCGATCATAGCGGGATTCATGTTCATGGCGTTCATGTTCATGCCAGGCATTCCTCCTTGACCGGCAGCCATCGACTGCTGCATCATGGTGAAGTACTGCTGCATGCGTTGCCAGTACTGGGCCATCATTTGAGGAGTCATCGAACTACCCTGTCCCTGCTGAGCGGCTTGCTGCTGACCTCCATCGTTCTGGTTTTGGTCGCGGTATCCTCCATTGCGGTGGCCACCACTGCCGCCGCGTTGATCGTTGTTCTCACGCAGGTTACCACGGGGCTGGGCTTTCTTGACCTCTATTGGCTTGCCCAGAATCTCAAGAGGACGGGAGAGAGCCTTCTCAACAGCAGCATCACCGTCGAAAGTGACGAAACCGAATCCGCGGGGACGTCCAGTGTCCTTGTCCATCATAAGAGTGGCATCCACAACACGGCCAAACTGCGTAAAGAATTGCTTGAAGTCCTGCTCGGTAGCCTCCTGGCTAACACCACCAACAAAAATCTTAGAAGTCTTCTCCTGTTCATCGCGGGGAATAGCACGCTTGGGATCAATCTTCAATATTTGTCAGCAACAGTTTGCTTTGTCCAATTGTGAGGTAATTCTTACAATCTTTCCATCCAGATAATGCTCCTTCACCATCACAGTATTGACAGTTTTAGCGTCACGGAAAGTCAAAAATCCAAAACCGCGAGAGCGTCCAGTGGCGCTATCCCGCATGACGGTGCACTCCTGAACCTCACCGAATTGAGAGAAATAGTCACGAAGGGACTCTAGATCAACATCAATATATGTTAGCTAAATGACATGTTTCCATGTAGCAAAGATACATATCCATACCGTCCGTAGTTTCCCAGTTCAGACCACCAATGAACATCTTTCTAACAATCACATTTTCATCGGTCAGCGGCGGCTCATCGCAAAAATAAAAAACGAAACGGCCCAGGGAATGATATTCAGTGAGCAGCATGATGCTGAACGTAATGTGATAGAAATGATAATGGGTAGGACAAAGGAAGGAAATCAAAGTGCAAAGGTAGGTGGCCAGGTATTGCTATTCATGGGCTAGTCGAGCGTGCGAAAAGCCTCGCTATTTTGAGCACATTGCCCTAGAACAGACAGGGCGCGTGCTAGGTCGGTACATGAACATTGTACCTCATAGTCACTGTCAATGTATACTTGTACGGTCCTGAGCAAATTTCATGTTCAGGACCGGGATTTAACGTCAAGCCCACTGGTTTACATGGGCTTGGATGCACAATTCATGTCCCTCTCTTTCTGGATTGCTCAAGCCGGAGACAGGCGAGATGAGAAGCGTGCAGGTGCAAGTATTTCAGTCGTAAAAAGTGAATTGTCACTGTCTGTCTGTCTGACCCGTGAAAACCTTTGCCTTGTCTAACACAGAGTCCCAAGCTAGATAGCTACTTCTTGCTCTGCCCTATCAAGGTATATCGACAGGAAACTATATAGTATCGGCTGTACTATATATGAATCGTTTGTGACAAAGGTCCGTGGGTGGCGTGTGGTTGATTTGCGCAAGCAATTGTCTTGATCAAGGGCTCCAGGCAATGTGCCTTCTGAGCCTCCGCTTGACTCTGTGAAGCGAATGCCGGGGTATCCCAATGTGAATTGTAGATCACTTTTGATCGGTGGTTGTGTGATGGTTCCTCGAACAGACTTGCTGATTGGTCGCCGAGCCCGCATTTTGTTTTCCCTCCTTTAAAAATGCATGCGCCACCAAACAACCGGCGAATTTTTCCTCGAAACAGCCCACAGTCCACAGCCCAGAGATATATTAACCCGTAGCTAGGAAAGTCCTTCCTGCACCCAGAATTGTAGTCGAACCCCATGAATAGCAATTGGCACCACCCAGGCTTGTACCGACGCGGTGAAGCCCAAAACCAGACAGATACATGCAATTGGGGTAGAGTTCGAACATAAAGATATAAAAGGAACACGATTAGTGGACTTACCCGTCTTCTTTGATCCCTGTTCCGTGAGACTCGGTCTCGGCAGGAGGGGGTGCCTGGGTAGTAGCAGGGGCGCCATAAGCGTTTCCGGAGCTATTGTTATAACCCGGGTCGAACTCCGAAGGCTGGGCAGGGTGCGATTCATACGTGCCAACAGGGGCAAGAGCGACATCCTGCCCAGCAGAGTCTCCAGCAGGTGCAAGGTTGGTCGCGCCTACATCAGTAGGCTTTGGCGCCTCGACTGCTGCAGTAGTACGGTTGGTGGAATCGTCAGCATCGTAGCTAAAAAGAAGAAACTTGATTAGAATTTATTCAATGTAGAGTCAAGTAGAATACATACAGATCAGCAAAGAGATCATCTCCATCCTCGGGGTCAGCCATGATAAAATAGTGAACGGTCAATAAAAGCAATAATAGATGTAGTCACAGAAACACGTGTAACCCTAGCCTGTCAGAGTAGAAGCAAAACTAAAGTAACAAGAATCGCGGAAAATGTGAGAACAAGTGGATGAAGAAGTTGAGAAGTCCACCGCGGGAATCCCCAAGCGGATCGATTACATAATACGTTGTCGCCCGCGGGACTCGGGGTGAAAGCTACGTATTTCGTATCTATACATTTTAGAACCTGTATTGCTTTGATTTGCCTTTCATTTCGAGTCTATCTCTCCCAAATATGCTCTATTGATTTTCTATTTCGTTCCTACATGGCCTGGCTGCAGGATAGACGGCATTCATTCTATTACAGTGCCACCCCGCACGTATATTAGACTCCCGCATGAGCACACCACTTTCAGAATCACCATACGATGGCAAACAAAAAAGGGCAGCAGGTATGTCTAACTCCCTAGCTATATGAATCTCTTGAATCTGTCTGTGTTGGGCATTGAGCTGACTGCTTTCCTAGGAAATGGTCCAGGTTGGTTCGTATCTATTGCCTCCCCTTGCATTTTAATCGCAGCTATAGCTTACATGGCCTTTCGTCCCATTTCACAGACAAGTCGGAGTAAGTGGAAGCTTTATATGTCTTCTACACCTATGAACACAGCTGCAATGTCTATCGAATGCTAATGTCTCTTTAAGACGCACCGAATCGCCCTTCTGGGCTGGCCGAAGTACGTCCCTAAATCAGGGATCATCGAAGTTCTATGGTTCGAATACTGTGGTTGGCGCATCATACTCACATGCCAATATTGTACAGTATGTTATCATATATCCTACAGATCCAGCAATTGATCAGAAACGATGACTGACAAGTGTCTTCTTTGGTAGACCTACTTCCTCCCACTCAGGCCCGAGAACACCGCCGAAACCATCGGCTACAAATGCTGCATCGAACTCAGCTCGCAGGCCAGGAAACCTAGTGGCCTCACCTCCCCGGCAACCATACCCTGGCATTATGACCGAAGGGGTCAACGAGTGGAGTCGTGACCCCACCGAAGAAGACGAAGAAGATGATGATTATGATGATGAGATTGTGTACGATGATGATGAAGATGAATTCGGGCTTCCTAGTCTTGCTAGTATGAGGAGAAAAAGATCCGCGCCTTTGAAGGCCCAGAATATTGATTTCAGTGGCGGAGCAGCAGGCAACCCCTCAACACTTGGGTACGGATTAAGCGCCGCCAACAGGCAACGCGCGAATAGTTCAGATATTGCGGAAGAGCGTGGTGCTCCGATGTATCCAACGGCTCGCAAGGGGGATGGGAAGATTCTCCGACCTCAATACAAGGACATCCTACAAGGTATGTATGAGTACATGACCGAAAGAAACTGGAGCAAAGCTGACAGTTATAGACCCTGCTAATGCTCTGAACCTCATCAATCACTCCCCACCTCCCATAGATGTTTCGCCCAAAGAAAGGGACATTCATTCGAGTCGCATCACGCGAATTAACAAGTTCAAGCGCATCCTGCAAGCCAGCACGGTGTCTCCCACCGAGCTGCGGGATCTCGCTTGGTCAGGTGTGCCAGAGGAAGTGCGGCCAATGACCTGGCAACTTCTTCTCGGCTATCTTCCTACAAATAGTGAACGACGCATCTCTACTCTGGAACGGAAGCGCAAGGAGTACCTTGACGGAGTCCGGCAGGCCTTTGACCGAGGTAGTGGAGCAAGCTCTGCAAACCCCTCTTCTTCGACCAAGGGCCGCGGCAGAGGACTTGATGAGGCAGTTTGGCACCAGATTAGTATCGATGTTCCACGCACCAGCCCCCACATTCCGCTGTACGGCTATGAAGCCACTCAGCGGTCTTTGGAACGCATCCTTTATCTCTGGGCCATCCGACACCCTGCAAGTGGTTATGTTCAAGGTATCAATGATCTAGTCACACCATTCTGGCAGGTCTTCCTGGGTGTCTACATAACCGACCTGAACGTTGAAGAAGGCATGGACCCAGGCCAATTGCCTCGGAGTGTGCTAGATGCAGTGGAAGCGGACACCTTCTGGTGTCTGACAAAGCTGCTGGATGGTATCCAGGACAACTACATATATGCTCAGCCTGGCATTCACCGACAGGTCAGGGCGCTGCGAGACTTGACAGTGCGCATTGATGCAACACTCGCGAAGCATTTGGAGCAAGAAGGTGTGGAATTTATGCAATTTAGTTTCCGATGGATGAACTGCTTGCTCATGCGGGAAATGAGCATCAAAAACACGATACGCATGTGGGACACGTACATGGTTCGTTTCCCCCTAGCGGACTGCTTTGCATGGTACTGATTGTCATTCTAGGCTGAGGAGCAGGGCTTCTCTCGATTCCACCTCTATGTCTGCGCTGCATTCTTAGTCAAATGGACAGATCAATTGGTCAAGATGGATTTCCAGGTACGAGATTTTAGTCGAATATCGCCACTATCAAACAGGGACTAACGTTCTCCCAGGAGATCATGATGTTCCTCCAAGCATTGCCAACGAAGGGTTGGACCGAGAAAGACATTGAGCTCTTACTTAGCGAAGCATTTATCTGGCAGAGCCTGTTTCAGGACTCGCGTGCTCACCTCCGGCCGGCTGGTGATGAACCTCCTGAAAATGGTATCTTTTATTGATAGTAATCATAATTCATGATCCGAATTTTCAACTTCTATTTTCGGATGCTTTCCCCCAGGGCAGATGGTCTTTCTCGCTCAGTTGAAATGAATACCCTTTTGGTTGAATGCCCACAGCAGCTTCAAGAAATCATTCTCATCACACATTCTCGCGCGCCTCTCTCCAAGATCAGTGTCATCCTCCAGGACCTGGCGCACCTTCTCACGGACTAGTTCTGCAACCTTGCCACGCTTCTTGCGCGAAGCTCCATTCTTGAGTGCTGCTTCGAGACGGGCATTTGTGTCCGCCTTGAAGAAATCGGGAACATCGTCATCGTCCATATCCATGACCTCGTCGGCCGGTTCATCAGCAGCTTGTTCCTCCTCCTGCTCGTCGCCCATGTCCATTGCCATCGGATCGTCATTGGCGACTTCTACCGGACCATCCTCCACAGGGATGTCATTTTGCGCACACCATGTCCGATAGTTTGCCTCTAGCAATTCCATGATGCTTGACGTACCAATGAAACTAGACCGGAGAGTCTTGTTCTTCCGCACGAAAACAATTCGCAAAAGACCATCCCACTCTTCGTAGTTGATCTGTGGCCGTGGGTTCTTGGGGACCATTCGAATGACGCTTGACTCGACCTGCGGCGGTGGCTTGAAGTTGTTCTTGCCAACCTTCATGATATGATCAATCTTGGCCCACATTTGCGCATTGACTGAAAGTCGACTGTAAAGTTTGTCGCCGGGCTTGGCGAATAAACGCAGAGCGAATTCACGTTGGAACCTGTATGGAGGTTCACATGTTAACTCCCAATTACACAGAATGTCTCTGAAATCTCTCAGTATTGCTGGCGGGGACTTACATGAGAACGCAGGAGCGAGGCGCCGGAGATGTAGCCAGGAGCTTGAATGTGAGAGGAGAAGAGATCTTTACTCTGTTAGACTCGGAAGAAGCGTTCGAGAAGACATGAGGTTGACATACCTGGTAGGGAGTATTACTGATGCAAACATCGAAGTATGGGAGCTCTGTCTTCATTACATCCCCAAGAATGACCTCTAGGCGCTTTTGGTATGGAGTGGACTGGAAGCGCTTGGTGACTTCTGCAGCCATACGAGGATCCAATTCCACGGCAATGCACTTCTTTGCCTTTTCCAGAATCTTGGCTGTCAAGTTACCGGTACCGGGGCCAATTTCGAGGACGATCTGTTGATTCACACACGATTAGTGTTTGTCAAGCCAATCAATGTCTTTTGTAACTCACATCGCTTTGCTTGAGCTCAGCCTTTTCCACAATTGCAGCTAGATATCCAACTTGTTAGATAGAGAAGGTATAGTGCAGTGAAAACCAGTCCTTACCAGCAATACCAGGGTTCTTCAGAACGTGCTGGCCAATATCAGTGTTCATCTTGAAGATGCTGTGAGCAGCTTTTGTCTTGGCCGCAGCATCTGACATGCCCTGCGAAGCGCTATTGCGCTTCGGCTTGTTGACTTTGGGCATCTTGTAGTAATAAGCCTCTGGAATTTGACAATTATCAAAAGAAACCAGAGAAAACCTGCGGCAACAAAGCACCGACTTCAATGTGGGCGGAACTTTTTTTGCGATAAGATTGTCGGCACCGGAATTACATTCTCCCGAGTCCGCTTTCGCCTTCTGCGCCGTCGATGTCGAGAGCCCTTTGAGTTGTGTTGAGCCCAATATGGCGTCTGGACGAAAGGATTTCCTAAGCCAGGCAGCGCCTGAGAACTACGTCGCTGGTCTAGGTCGTGGTGCGACAGGATTTACCACTCGCTCCGATCTTGGCCCGGCGCGTGAAGGACCTACGCCCGAACAGATCCAGGCTGCTCTGACCAAGAGAGCTCAGCTTCTCGGAGCTGCTGCACCTACTGCCTACGGAAACACTACACGCGAGAAAGGCGGAAAAGAAGACGACAAGGAGGAGGAAGATGAGCGGTTCCAGGATCCCGACAACGAGGTCGGGCTGTTCGCATACGGACAGTTCGACCAAGAAGACGATGAGGCAGACCGCATCTACCAAGAGGTAGATGAGAAGATGGACAAGCGCCGCAGAGCTCGTAGGTTAGTCATACCCCTCCCATTCCCCCTCCGAAACCATTTGTTTATCGGGTTAGCCCCGGTTGTTTGGACAGAGTACCGACATGAATCGCTCGCCACCTACAGGGAAGCTCGAGAGAAAGCCGAACAACAAGAATACGAACGGAATAACCCGAAAATCCAACACCAATTTGCCGACCTCAAACGCACACTTGCCTCGGTATCTGAAGAAGACTGGGCTAACCTCCCGGAGGTTGGAGATTTGACGGGCAAGAATCGACGAGATAAACAGAATGCCC